CCCCCGCAGGGGCTCCGCCCCCCAAAATTTTTTTTTTTTTGTGACTTTTTTTTTCAAAAAAAAAAAAAAAAAAAAAAAAAAAAAAACCCGGGACAAATACTAACAGAGAGGGTGAACAGCATTAGCCCACGTAGACTGAAATATTATATTTATTTGAATACTAATCTGCACAGAGTACATAGTTTGCTTACTGAGTTTGGTCTTGTTTCAGTTGCAGTTCTGTTTGGTAGATTTTCCAGGAGTGTTTGGTTCATTTGTTATCTTGTCCAATAAAAATGAAAAGCTTGGCTGAAGTTTTGTAGGAAAGTTAAAAGAAAGCCTGCTTTTTCAAAATTAGTAAACATGAAGCTTCTCTTATAAACATTAATGCAAGCAAATTTATTAACATAGAAACAATTCATATTCACCAAATTAAGCTATTAATATATTAAATTAAGCTAAATTAAGATATGAGGGTCTTGATAACAAATCAAGATCCATTTGGGAGTCAAAAGAGCTGACTGAACAGAACCACAGTTTGGACCACTATGTGCCATATTATGCTATTCTATGCTATGCTACACATTAGTACAGTGTGCTGTTCTACAAATTACTGTCTGTACTAAGCTACACTAGAATACTACTAAGGTTATACTACTCTGTACTGCACTGCACTATATGCTTTGCTGTAATTTACTGCACTGTATTGTGCTATACTATAGTAAACTACACAAGTCGTATGCTACACTGCATTATGCTATGCTACATGATACAATGCTATACTATGTTATACCACTTTGTACTACACTGGCCTACAGTGCCCTATGCAAAACTATGCTATAGTATAGTACTTTCTCCTATCCTCTACTATCCAATACTATAGAAAGGTATTGAATACTATCCAATACTCGCTATGCTGTACTGTACTATTCTATACTATACTACAGTATATCTATTTCTGAACAACAAATTCACAGATTGCAGCTCAAATCTCCCTACATTTTCATGCTTCATGTGTTTGAGGAGTCGCAGCTCTCTGTAGGCTCTTTTGGCAAAAAGTTTGGACTGGAAGGGCCGGTGGAGCTTCTTGATGGCCACCTGTGTCCCTGAGCGCCGGTCCCAAGCCGAGCTAAAGAAAAACAAAAAAAGAGTAAAGCACAGATAGAAATGGAGGTATTATTGTTATAAAAGGTTTTATTTTCCTCATTACACAAACATTTAAATCAAAGTTCACTTCAGAGAAACTTTTACCAATATTATTGTTCAACCCCTGAAACCTTCTCTGCTCGGTCACAGTGTTTGCAGTGGGAAAAAGGCAACCTTTGTCATCTAAGACAAAGTAGTGGAGCATTCATCGCACTTAACTGAGTCTCTGACTTCTCATAAACAATGAGGGTGGAAGGGAGGTTCTTTGTTGACCCTCATCCACTCTCACACAATGCAGAGGGGCCCCGCAGAGCCAGCTGTGGCCAAAAAGTGACCAAAGCTGCAGCTTGACTTGGATATAACAGTAAATCTTAAATCTTATCATAAGTCTCAAAGAATCAGGATAACTGAAAACATACAAATCTATTTCTTGTTCACTACTTCTGGGTGAAATACAAATGGTGTATTCCAGTATTACTTTCAGTTTAAGTGCCAAGTATTTCTTTCACGTTTCACTTCTTTGAAATAAAATAAAAAAATAATAAAATAAAAAAAAGACATGGCCGCAAACTATTAAAAATAAGCAAAATATTCCAAATGATTATTTTGTCTTTCTGAAAGCTCCTTCCTTTCTGAACTCACCACACGGTTCCGTAGGCTCCGGTGCCGACCTGCTTTAAGTCCCGGTACCTCTCCGGCACTTCCCACACGGTTCTGTTCACCTCGTGCCGGTAAAACCCCGTCCGGGACCGCGCAGCTATGGCCATACCGCTGAGGTGAGGATGTGGACCGGATCCCGGAATCTCATGAGCGGAAATAAAGTTTGTACCGCAGAAGTTCAGGAGCGCAGTCCGAAACCGAAGCAGAGAGTCAGCGGAACATTCCTCCAGATGGACCAGCTGACAACTGGAGCACACACACCCCTCCCCCCGGAGCGGGTGGACCCCAACACGGCCACTCGGTCACATTGTCTGCCCGGCTCCTGGTCGCCCTGGGCAGTCCATGGGTGTGTCTACACGGTGGGGGCAACATCTGCCCATCCGAGGCCAAACAAAACCCCAGAGATCACACAGCCTCTGTCATCTAATAATAACACTCACTGATCTGGTTCAAGAAATTGTTTTTTTTTTCTTAAAGTAAATTCTTATTTTTTATAAAGTGACCATATTGGAATAAATTAATTCAAAAATATTTCCCAAAAGGAAACTGAATGTTTTTGCAACTTATATTACCCAGAGTTCTTCAAAGAGTTGCTGTAGATACTGATGATAGATGCAACAGTAGCAAGACCACTAAAAATAAATAAATAAATAAAATTCAGATTTTTTTTTTTTGTCAGAATCCTGACTTTTTTCTCTGAAATTTAGTTGAGGGATCTCCTGTAGCAGTCAGTATCACAGTGTCTGAAGAAGCCTCTGAAGTGTTCAGCTGTTTGGCACAGAGTGTTGTGGGATTGGTTAAAGGTTTGTGGACTTGTCTTTTGCTGAAATGTGCTCTGACAGCGTTGATATTTTACTTCAACTAATACACAATTTTTACTTTTGAAGTGTGCTTATCGCATGCAGTGAGGGATTACAAAAATTTGTTTGATTCTTCACCAAACACCTGAACACATGAACTCCTCTACTTAGCTATGCTTTACCATATTATACTACAGTCGTCTATGCTAAGTTGTGCTGTACTAGGCGATTATGTTGTAGTGTTTGAAGCAATTTTGTACTTCAATGTTCATATTCTCTATTTTATGAAATTTAGGAATCTGCCAAGTTTTTGAAAATTCTTTTGCAGCATAATACACCTTGTTTTTTATATATGTTTTTTATAAAAGGTTTCCCACTGTAACAAACTTTCCTGAAACTTTAACTTACATTGACCAACAAGAAATTTAAATCTGGACTTTTAAGAATACATTTTCTTTATTAATACAGCCAGAATACATAAAAATCACTGAAAATATTTGGTGCAAAAAAACAAAACAAAACAAACATTAGTATTTATTCTGTTGAAGCTTAAACTTCCATAACTATCTGTTGATAAAAGAGCTGACATTCCTTGCAGTGATCTGAAACCCAAACAACTGAATCACATGCCAACATGTATTCAAAGTCACCACTAAGTTTTAACAAACCTACGTACAGTAAACATATACATTCAGTATGTAGCTGTTATTCAAGTCCACCACAGATACATTAACATAAACACATCATGTTTAAACATTCAGACTTTTAGTGCTCAGACGGAGATCGTTTCGATTTACTAGGACAATAGTCTCAATATTTTTCATCCGGTGTTAATGGACAACTTGCTGAAAATGCTACATGAAAGCAAAAGAAATAATAATAAGAAAAAACATTAAAAAAATAAAAAAATTTTGGACTGTACTTGTAAACATAAGCTCTTTATGCTGCTAATTTAGCAATATGTAAATGATACTGGGTCAGTGAATTTAGCCAAAAGCACAGTTTGATTTTGTGCATTTGGATAAAAAACAAAATGGTAAATTACAGATTACTCTAGATTACAGAAATGCCTGAAATTCTAAAACTGTAATGCTTCTAGTTACAGTACAACAGATTTAAACCCAATGAGCTAACAAAGCTAACACTAGAAAAATGTTAGCATTTTAGCTAGCCTGTTGGGCAACGTGATCGGGGTCTTTTAAGCAAACTCATTAGCATTAGCTTCTGTAAAAATCTTAGCCAAGCTTGGTCTAAACTAAGAAATACAATTAACAAAAATTTTAATGAACAAAGATTTGTTCTAGGCATGGGCCAGTTACTGGTATCAAGGTATATCAAATATTTCATATTCAAGCTGCTAAAAGTTTCTCCCATTCTGATTTAAAGTTTTTTATAATGATATGAAAAGACGGTGTTTTATTCAGATGTGGTGTTATTTCAGTCAGCTCGGTCAGCTGGCTGAAATAAAACTACTGTACTTTACAAGAAAAAACACATTTGGCAATTTGGAAATACTTACAGTTGTTGATAGTTGGGGTAGTACAGGCATGCTGTTAAACTACAGTGATTTTTTAACATGATTTAGAATTACACAAGCGGCTGTAGATCTCTCGACATTATGGTGTAAACCTGTTTTTATAAATACCAAACAAACTTTTTTCCTATTAATAAAAAGGTGCAAAAGACTAGAAGAGAAAAGTATGCAGAGTGGAAAGCAAGGCAGCACCAGACATCACTCTTTTTAGGACTATTTTAAACAATAGTCATAAATTTACAAGCAGGATGTCCGGCTGGCCATCTGACTCATCTGATTCATTTACCACATATTTGTTCTACATTTTGAAAATAGTCTGTTTACCAAAAATAATAAGTATATGCTGTATTATACTACTGTAATAATCAATATGCCATGTTATTTTGTTTGAAGTATTTCGATTGTACTTTGATAGCTGACATGTAACAACTAGATAATGATATGAATTTTTATTTCTGGTGACAAAATTTAGGAATCCACAATATATATTGGTTTATATGCTGATGTTGATCATTTTTAACATGATCTGATGAGTGAAACTGGGTTGATATTAATGACTGATTTTATTTCCGTCTTGTTTGTGTTTCAGAAGCAGGAGGTTGGTCATGTGGGATCTGTTTGGTTATGTGACAGTGAATGTGATGCGTCGCACTATTATAGGACGTTTCCATATTGTTTCAATCCTTACTAAATATCATTGTTTATATATTGAACATTTTAAACAGAGAGACACTGTGGTATTTTTATGACGTTTATGATGTAGAAGAGGGTGAATCTCACACTAGCCCATCCCTAGCAAACTCTAGAAGGGCCCTAAAATATTGTAATCTTCCACCTGCTTTAGAAACCTCACGTATTGCAGTGTAGCCATTTGTTTTTGTGAACAAATGGTCCAAACAAAACTCCAGTGTGCAGCAAGACACGGACGACGGGCTGTGACAATGTGCACATGCACCGAATACACGCGTCTCATGCATTTCAATTGAGGGTTTGCATCAGATGATGTCGGGCAAAAATATTGCGCTAAGGATGAAAGACAGAAACGGATTTAAACAAAGTCGACAATGCTTTGACCCTGACCCTCTATTTTCTTTTAAGACCTTCTTTTAGACATGGAGGGCACAAACAGAGCTTTATGGTGGCCATAAACAGCCAGAACGTTGCATTGTTTGATTGATCCCCACATTATATGAGACTCCTGTACTTTATTGGATAGATACGGACTGAGGCTGTTTGCAGAATTTAACATTAATCAATGTAAACTCACAAACGGGCAGTAATGATAGCAAAGCAGCCAAAGCTAACAGGTGACCAACAATCAGCCGCCAGCAGGACGTGTATGAGAGCGAGGTTCCAGAGTAAACACACACCTGCAGCGCCGTCACACTCTTCCAGCTTTGGCATATATTCATTACCTTGCTAATAACAGCACAGTTGGTGTTCAGGTGTAAATAGGCAGGAGAGACGAAGCAGTAGTTTGTTTGACTGAACAAGTTGAAAATTCTGCTATTGTGCATTATAAACATAGAGAGATTACAATACAGTACCGGTTATAAGACACGACTGTAAAATGAGAATAAATCATGCTTCAGTGTAACGCAGGCAACCTTTAACCTTTAACCTTCTGGGTCCCTCTACTTGTTCTTTGTGGGCTTTTTTTTATTATTATTTTGTTTAGGAAAACCCGCAGCCTGTGTTACACATGACCAGGTGAAATCTTTATCACCTTACCTTTAAAGTTTTTGATAAATCAAATATCACAAACTGGGTTCCTTCTAATATTTGTGTTGCCATTGACTACCATTCAAACGCCATGTTTAGAACACACTGCCAATGAAATCTGAGTGTAGTTGGAGTTTAGTTTTTATTCTCCCTGGTGTTGAAATTCTTTCATAATTTTCTTGTTGTGTAAATCGATCAATTTCATAAACAGATTTGGGGGAAAAATACGACTGTGTGGGTTTTTTTTCCTTAAAAAAATTAGAAATTTAATTACTAAAATAGACATTTAAAGGGTTAAAATTCCCAAACCTTTATAACTGTTATTACATGATGAGAATTGAAGTTATAAATGGCAATAATATTTTTAAAAAATGGTTGATTCATGAAATTTCTCTGTCATTTTCTAAACGTATTCGGTGGCGAACCAAACCAAGGGACTCCAGAAGGTTAAAGATGAATCCCATAAATGAAAGCACTAGGTTCATGGAACTGATGGGTGATATGTCCCTGACGTTGCTTTGGAAATCCTAGTGTGCGTATTTATACTTTTGTCTTTACCGTTCTCTCAGCCTGTACGCACAAATCTGCAACCCAAAGTTCCTCCCCCCACCAATCCTTTCGGCACCCAAACGGTTTCTCATTTCACCATCCGTCAGCAAAAATGTAACAGGAAGCGACTTTCTGCTGCAGAGATGTCCTTTTTAACACCATCCCAATCACGATCCCTGCGGCCGGTTTGTGCGTCTGGTCCCCATGGAGACCGCCGTTGCCCTTTCCACGTCAAAAACAATCAAACACAATTAATGTTGCTTTTCTCCACGGTCTGTTTTGCATCCAGTGAGTGTGTGGTTGTTGGTCTGGGTGGCGGTGGAGCAGAGGGGGCCTTACTGCTCCACCTGGAGGCTGTCTGTCTTACTGCCCGACGCCTTAAAGCTGCTCACCTCTTCGAACACCAGCTCTACAGACAGACAGGAGCAGAGGGGGAGAGAACATGTTAGGAAATGATGGTGAGGGTTTTAGGTACAGGCATTTTGCAGTCATTTTGTTTTCATGTCAAACGTTTTGTCACATTACAGCCACAAACTGCAATTGAGACATCTAACAACTTTCTTTAAAACCATGACTTTCTCCTTGGCTCTCCTCCAGAAATGCCAGAGTGCGACGTACTGCCCACTGACTACTGCTACTCTCACTCAAAGGGTGGCGCCAAAGTCACATCAGATGAAGATCAGGTCACAAGGAGAAGAAGAAAATCAACAGAAACGCTTGTTTGAACGAAACACAAAATCGCAGTAAAACACGATGGAGGTTTGTGGTCTTAACATGACAAAATGTGAATAACTTCAAGGGGTGTGAAAATATTTGCAAAGAAATTGCGAAGTTAGAGGAGGGATATTATGTATTTTCCACGCCTGTGAAACAATTTTAGAGCACATTCAAGTAACTGTTACCTTCAGCTGTTATGAAAAGTAAGAAAATATCAAAAACAACTTCAAACACATTTGTCATATCTGACTGCTGGAAATTGGTGTCTGTCTCTTTAAGAAGCTTATATCCTTTCCAACACTCGTCACTACAATGCTTCTCAATAATGCTGTTTGCAGCCATTCGGCTCAGCAGATCCGCAGTTCCACCAGGTGTTTGGTAATTGCTGCTGCCGCTAGTCTAAAGGAACTGTGTGGGGGAGGGGCTGGAGCTCGGCTGGGGACTGAGCTCCACAGTGGAGCTTTGGGTAAAGAGGCGGTGCATTGCATGAACAGGCATTAGGGCACACCTTAATGGTTGCCATGGGAGATTCAAGGATTCCTCAAAATGAACAAATGAATCAAAGCAACCTCCATGTGTTTGATGGGCTATTTTGCAAAATACTGATTTTAATTTCAGGTCTGAATTTGTAAAAAGCACAAAGCTGTCACCTTTCCACTCCTCCAGAGTCCGGTCCTTGCTCTCCAGCGTTTGGTCGTAAGGCGGAGCCTCCGGCTCGTCATCTGGGTCGTGGTACTGCGAGAAGTAAGGGTGGGCCAGGGCCTCGCTGGCCGAGATCCGCTCATCACAATCCAGAACCAGCATGCGCTTCAGCAGGTCGATGGCTGCCAGGGTGACAGGAACAGGAAGGTAAGTGGAGGAGGGTTTGGCCGTGGCTCACCGACGGTACGGACAGAGCAGCTGGTGTCACAAAAATCAGATCAGGCTCTCAATGGTTTTCTAACAAGCTGAGAATGTTGGATAATTGAATCTGTGGTGCATCACCAAGTGGGTTTGCTCCCCTGAAGATCTTTTCCATGTCTTGTTGGGGCATGAAGGGAAGAGACTGGATGTACTTCTGGGCCTGCAAACAGAGAGCAGCGTTCAGCACTCCCACATACTGACTGGTCAATCAGCGACTCTGTGAACCGAATGTCTGATCACTCAGATCACACTGCTGTGGATGAAAATAACAGCACAGAGTTTTTATTTCCCCGTCTGCTCCCAGTCGGTTCATACTCACGTGTTCGGAGCAGATCTTCTTCAGCAGGTCTGGTGTCGGAGTGCCAACCACCTCCATGATTCTCTTCAGCTGGTCGATATCTAACGGCAGGAGGAGTTAAAGAGTTTCCTGTTTCTGCTTTCTGTCAACTTACAGGTTTCAGATCAAACAACTTTTATTTATAGACAGAAAAAATGTTTTCAAATGATGATTCCACATATCAAGGTAAAAAAAGAGGATTTTAACCAACCTTTGAATAGAAAAATTGGTTCTTGAATCAAAGTTGTGACCCTAAAATTCAAAATGAAATTACTAAAGACTTGCTACTATGCACTTACAGCATATGGCAGGCATATTCCTTAAAACTATCTTAAGAGTCATCCCAATAATCTGGGAATATTTACAATGGTTGGAAATGGAAAGTCGGCACAGAAACAGGCCTAAAAGTCATGCTGTGTGAATGTTGGATGTTCTGGGTTCTAGTTTGACCTCCTGTTCTAGAACGTCATCAGATTGTGGGATGATGTGTTGCTTTTTCAGATCTTTTAGCCGAACTCGGGTTCCCATAACGGATCTGTTTAAGTGATTCCTTGAGGAAATAGTTTTACACGGCGCAGCCTGAGTCTTTATAGAATATTGACACAAACTCTGCAGACAGCTTTTTTTTAGGCATTGCAAGTTACCCAACACTCAAAGATCAGACGATATAATTAAATTTAGCTCAGTTCTTTGGCTCTGAATAGGAAACTCTAGATAATTCAGCCTTTTGTTGTCGCTGCTATTCATTCCACGTAGTAGCAGAGCTCCATTTCTGAAAGAGCAAGGATTGTAATGCAAATCCGTGAGAGATCTCTGTGCCTCAGAGAGGTTCCTGTGAAGTAGAAAGAGGACTCATGCCAAGACGGTAAAGGATACAGTCAGTGCCGGGGAATAAAACTTTTCCTTTCAGCAATTCTCCCATGATACAGCCCACAGACCAGATATCAACTGGAACAGAAACCAAAGATCTTCAGTCAAGCCGTCTTCAAAGACTTCACTTCCTGAATGTCTGCTGTGTCAGAGCTGCTCACCATTCTGGTTGTAGTGCATCCAGTTCAGCATGATCTCTGGTGCTCGGTACCAACGTGTCGCCACATATCCTGTCATCTCATCGTCCGTCTGTCTGGCCAGTCCAAAGTCAAGAATCTGTTGGGAATAGAAGAAGCTTTTACTTTATGGTCCACAGAGGCTCCAGTAGAAGTTGCAGCGTTGACGTGAATGTGGATCTTACCCTGAGCTCACAGTCTTCGTTCACGGCCACGTTACTTGGCTTGAGGTCCTGAAAAGGGACATTAAAACACCAGTAAACATCAGTAAATTAAAAACAAATAAGGTCATAATGGGCTGAAGATGCTGATTTAAATTAAATATAGAGTGTACCCTGAATAATATATATAGGAATACATGAGACCAAAACGGGCATAGCTCTTTATTTTAATGGTTCAAACACCAAATACACCTTAACATGCATTAATATGCATATGAATGGATATTAGTATGTATTAATATGCATAATTTGTTAGCCACCTTGGTGCTACTGCAGAAGCTAACATCTCCAGTTTCCTTAATGCCTCTCTAGGCGTTTCAGCCAATCAGCAGCAAGGAAAACACATGGCACTCTTGAATTGGCTGAATTCTTCAGATCAGCCAATAGGTATTTCTGCTTCTAAAGTTGATGTGTCTTTCAACTGTTTAGGCGAATTTTCCAGGAATAATTTGGAGTTACGCTCCACAGAAAAATGTGTTAATCAGCAAATCCTGGACAACTGAAGCATGAATAGACAGAGGTCCAGTATATCTAACACGCCATATAAAGAGTTAAGCATTTCTAATGAATTATGGATTCTATTTCACATTGACTTTAAATGACCTTTTTTTTTTCTTTAGATTTCACCTTCTTTCCATCGATGGGAATTTTGGTTCCTGTTGGACCGATTGATTCTAACTAAAGGAGGAACTTGAACTCCTGATCAAATCCAAGCTACAAAGAGCAAACCGCCGCCAGTAGACATTAATAAATTCATATTTATAACCACATTTCCTTTTAGTAAAATACGAGTTTAACACAATTACCAAACACTGTTAAAGTAAAAGTTTTAAAAAAGAAATTTAACTTTAATTATAACATCTAAAATATGTTCAGAAGCTCATTTTCCATGAACCATGAGGGAGAATAAACACAGAGTGAAGTCACATGCCTGGCCCCATAAGGGCTGATTACACAACCAAACAGATGTGACAATAAAAGCAACAGGAAATTTTACTCCTTGAGCTCATTTCTTGTGTCATAAATAGAGCAAATGCTACTGATTAGAAAAGAGGATATGATAATTTCAGTGCAGATGATCTAGGTCGGCATGTTGCCAGGATACCACAACAAACTAAATATCTAATTAGGCAGGTTCTCAATGCCAGGACAGTTTGGCCTGTGCATAGATGCAGGTATTCACTGAAGTTCTTACAGCCCTTCTTGAATGTTGTACATTTATTATTTTAATTGTGAGAATGTAGCAGAATAAAGACTCAACATTACCAGAAGAAAGCCTCAAAGTTAAGAGAAAAAAAAAAGTGTAATAAAAAATAAATCTTTTGATAGAGTTAACAAGAATCTGATGTGACCAGCTGGTCTAGTCCAAGGCTCTTTCTTCAAACAGACTCAGTCATTTCAACAATCATTTCAAAGTCCTGCTACTGATAAGAATTTGATGCTAATGTGTTAAAAGATTAAATGTTTCCTTTTCTGTAAAACTGATACCGAGGATAACTTCACATATTCAACATTCCTCATTTTAATTTGAAATTATTTTTTATGGACAAATTGTCATAATATTACAACTTAATGCTCCTAATATCTTTAATAACATTATGACTTTATTTTCACTATGTTATGACTACTCTTGTATAATTATGACTTTATTTTCCTAATATTATGATTTAGGTATTGTAATTAACTTTTTTTTTTAGCCTGGCCTAATAATCCATCGCACATTATCATTCAGCCCCTGTTACTCGGACACCACCAAGGAAGGTTTCAGTGACTCCTAACCGTTTTCACTCACTTCACTGATACATTTCCATCACATAAAATCCTGTCAGAAACACCGGAGCAGAGCAGACCGAGCGTCTGGTTCTACATTTAGACATCTATCTTTTGAGTTTCTCACCAAACCAGGACAAGAAGCAGGAACTCACCCGGTGGATCAGTCCAGCTGAATGGATGTACTGTTCAGCCGGCGGCGGGGTGGGGCAGGAGGGCACGGGAGAGAGGACATAAAAGAGGCAGAGGTCAGAGAGCAGCTCACCACATTAGTTTCTCCTTACAGGCAGACTGCTTTTGTCTTCGCCATGGTAACGGGCTGAGGCTGAATAGAGCGCCTCTTTACAGCTGCCTGTCTGAGCAGCTGGGCTCGTTCGGTTCCTCTAACCTTCACGCTACCTTCTAAACAGAAATATAACTTCTTTCAACATAGAAACCTCAGTCTCTACTTCACTGCTGATGGACAACCAGTTAGCTTCCTGATGATGTGTGGAGGAAACGTCTTTGCTCTTGGTTACCTTCAGGCCGCGAAGCAGCTGGTAAATTAGGAACTGCACATGCTCGTCCGACAGCCTCTGAAACTTGACGATGTTGTTGAGGTCTGCGCCCATCAAGTTGGTCACCAGGTAGCTGAAAAAGCAAAGATGGATAGGGGTGGGGGACTTGGTGATGCTGCCATAGCAACCGTCAGAGATCTCTGCAAGCCTTTAATCCCCTTCAGGTCAACCCCACGTCCATCCACATGCATAACAGCTGCTCCACCTGAACAGCTTGTGGGAAATACCAAGTGAAAACGGATTTACAGCTCGTTGAAGTCTTCTAGAGTCCCCGCCGGCGTGAAGACGTCCAGCAGCCCGATGACCTGCAGAGACACAAGCCGAGACGTAGGTCTGTCTATTCGGGTAGGGGTGTTTTAACATTTTCTTCTTCTTCTTTTTTTTTTTCACTAACGTTCTCGTGTTTCATGTGCTTGAGAAGCCGGAGTTCGCGGTACGAGCGGCGGCTGTGGATCAGAGACTGAAAGGGCCTGGAGAGTTTCTTCACCGCCACCTTCTGCCTGGAGACCACGTCATAAGCCGAGCTGGGAGGGAAGACAGACGCAAGAAGCTCTTTATTCAAATGATCCTTTCTTTTACTGTGGCAGAAAAATGTAGTCGTAGCACTGATTGAAGGGGTGTGCATGAGACTGACGTGACATAAATATAACTGTCATGAACATGAAGGAGTCTTCATGAATGTTTATGACTGTTGTCATGAAGTGTCGTTCTGTAAATAATGACACTTTTAATGCAAAGATTAAATACTTAATGGACTTTTAATGCAAGTTTTCATGTAATTTTTCTTAAAAGTGCCACTATTTAATGAATGATGCAAGCTTGACACTTTTAATGCAACTTTTATTACAACTTTGCATTAAAATGTCATTACTTACAGAATTATACTTCATGACAGCAGTCATAAACACTCATGAAGACTCCTCCATTCCCATGACAGGAGTCTTGTCATGTTTGCAAAACAGCAAGAAACCTGTCCAAACCAACCAGGCCCTGTGTGAAAAAATAATCACACCCCAAACGTAATGACTGCTGGTGGAAAGTGGGTCAAAAGGGAAAAGCAAAGCAGATCTGTAAGGGGATGAAGACTTTTTCACTGGGACCTGGAGGTAGAAAGAGGTTCCTGATGGGTGAACCTGGAATCAGCTGGAGCTGGGTGAGTCTGCGCTGGATCAGGTGGATAATGGGAGACAGGCGGGCGGAGGCACACGGAGAGAAAGAGGATGCGGCGCAACAGAGGAAACGAGGATGTAACACATTATTCAAGTTCTGCTGGTTTATTTATTTTTTCCCCATTTTCCTCTATTGAACTGAAAATGTCCAACCACGTAACAACCGCTAAGCCCTGCTGCAGCCGCCATTGTTGAGCTGATGTCTGTTCAAGCCTGCCAGCTTTGTTTTGACTCAGTCAATACAGGCATCAGACAGGCAGGCAGGAAGGGAGGGTGAGGGTTGAGAAACGCCAGCAAGCATGATGGAAACAGAGCGAGAGAAGAAGTGAAACTTGTGAAATGTGATTATCTAAACAAAACTAAACAGAGACAACAGGGGAGATGCTACGTCATTTCCCTTAAGAAACAAAACAAAGCAAACAAAAGACAGCTCATATAATTTTCTACAGTAACTTAATTTCCTGATGGTCTGTAATGTGAACATGTTTGAATAAATGGCTGACTGTGGTCCTGAATCACCTGCTGCCAAGCCTGATGTCCACAGTCCAGCCGGGACGTCCAGCCGGGACGTCCAGCCGGGACGTCCAGCCGGGACGTCCAGCCGGGACGTCCAGCCTGCTCCATCTGACACCAGCCAGGCCTCACAGACTCACACATACCTTTTTACTCTGCCAGCTTCCATACAAGGGCCTCAGCACCCCACTGTCAACACACACACACAGGAGCCACTGATTTCTGTTCTTCTCTTTTATTTCAGCTTCATTTCAACATCCTCAGACTTCAAAATGGAACAGGAGGCGCAGGAGGAGCAACTAATGTCTGCTGCAAAGAGAACTATTTTTAACCAGGCCTCCTCATCTGTTAAAATGATTGATTTAAATATATAAAGAAAAAATTTGCATTATTGTTTGCTCATTCAGTAAATGAACAAAACGCCGACCTGTTATCTAGAATCCGTGACATCACCAAATTTTCCACATTTAGACATCCGTAAAAAGTCTTACATTCATGTAGCTGAAATTAAGACCTTAAAATGTCTTAAATTCATTAAAGACAATTTGAGTTGGCCTCAAACACACCATAAAATACGTATAATCACAAGTCGTAAATAGTGTTGTGGGAGGACTAGTCTATGCAGGTTTTTTCTCACAGGACTTTTCTATTAGGCATAAGTTTGAGTCACATGCAGATTTCTTCATGGCATTCTGTCAGGTTAAAAGCTGCTAGTTCATCAATGGTTTCCTGGACAGCTTGCCTCTGTTGCCAGCCCCTACAAGGCTAGATGCATTCTGTGCAAAAAAGCTTGGCACTGCGAGGGTTAAGGCTGCAGAGAGCCATATGCCGTATGAGAAGCACAAAGCTGCTGCCAAGAGCCACAAACAGCCACTAAAAGATCCCAGAAATTTCCTTGGTATATTTCTGTCATGATATGTGTCTTAACTTTTATTCATAATGGTCTTAAAGTCTTAAATTTGAAACCTGCATTAATTCTGTTAGCTACCTTCTGTTGTTGGTGACTCGTTTAAATACCAGCAATAAAGACAATCAAAGAAATTGAAATATAAGCCTAGCCTTGCTACTGCTAGTTCAGTTAGCTTAGCATACATGTAAAAACTTAGGAACTTCACCTCTAAACACATACACTGCATTTCATAATAGTCTGCTAAAGCAGGATGTGACAGTTAGTTGAGTAACCAGAGCAACTATTTGTTAGAAATTCAGACTGAGACCTGGAGTTAGATGTCAAGTTTGAGGGAAGAAATATTTTCGTCCATCTTCCATTTGGTTGATAAAAAGTGGTTGATAAAATTGATAATTTATCCTCCTATGCAAAATGTCATAGGTATTGCCTTCTATCTAAACAACAACCTGGTTAAAGAATTACAAAGATTCTTTTATTCACATAAAAATGTGAATAAAAAGTTACCTTACAATGAAGCTTCTTCCAGCTTGACCTTAAACACTTTTACTTAGGCTAAATTTGAGCACAAAGTATGTATGAAAAAAGTCACATTCTCTAAATATTCTCATTTGCTCAAATGGATATCCATAGATGATTAATATTTGGACAGATTTCATATTGTCTGCACTCTCCAAACAGCAGCTTGAAACATTTATCTTTATGATTGTAACTTTTATGTCTTCTTCACGGCCCTGGTCCACCTGTCAATAAACCTCTACTGCAGTTATGTCATTAAAACTTCAAACAGGGTCAGAAAACTCTGAACTCATTTCTCAAACCAGTTCAGCATATGTTTAATCAATAATTGTGGCAAAAACATAATAAACAAAGCAATATATTTAATTAATAGCTAGTCTGGTTCAAACTCAGTCTCTTTCTGTCTTAGTGTCTTCTGAGGAAAAGTAAATATTCAGTTTGTTTACAGCTTGATGACATGAAGCTGAAAAGACAAGAAAGCTGAATTAGAAACAATATAACAGCTTGCAGTCCTTTAAAGTTTTTGTCTCGCATCTCATCAAAATTCGGGAAATGGCGCATGTTTAATTATTAAGTGTGTTTTGTATTTATAACAATACTTCCTGTGGCATTCAGGCTCTGTGCTTCTAAACTATCACTACAGCCAATTCTGCATTCTGTCCTTTTATTCTTCACAGAGAACAGGGAATATATTCTTCAGCTTTCGTTTTGTCGAGTTTTATTAAATATCCACATTCTTGACCTGAGGTCAGCAGTTTTAAGCGGATTTCAAGAACTCCTTGTTACTTTATTTTGATAAGTAATAAGAGATGTTAAAATGCCCTTTAAGAAGCAGTACTTATGCTAACTTCCATCACTTCTACGTTTTGCACCCCCAACTCCCATCCCCCCCTTCCTGTGTTGGTCAGACCCTACCATGAGAAAATTGGCGACAAAGGCTAGAGATCAAAATTAGAAATGCAAAGAAGCTAGGGTAGAGTTCAATTATATCCCTGACACAATAGTGCTTCTCCCATATTTATTTGGACATGTGGGAAAATTCCACAGCAAGTACACCACAGCTTCCATCCACTGCAAAAGCATCTAGACATATACTGAAATATTACAATAAATAATAAGCAATAACATTACTTAATCTCCTCATGAAAACTATGCAAACACTGGTGAAGACTCACTTTCCCCTCTAGATACCACATACTTGAAAATAAAAGTGAAACTGACAGCATGACCAATTTTCTGATTTATTGGGTTAATCTTATGACCCTTGAGGTCAGCATTAATATTTCCTTACCATAGAGTCAACTGGCCCTTCAAAATGGAGAAAACAATACAATGAAATAGTAATGTTACAGCTAAAGTAATGTACCCCACTTTTTATCTCAAAACACACACACACACAAACACACACACACACACACACACACACACACACACACGCATACACACACACGATTCAATCAGTAGCACATCAAAATGGACAAATATATTTTAAAGATGTTACAGGGCTTGATATTGAATAAGATCTGTCTAATTTTAACTCCACGTAGCATGTTTTTAAGCATGCTAATATACACAATAAGATAGGAAGTTGTGGGAAAGACTCTACAGTATTTCAACTCCAGAGATTTAAGTGACATGACTCTAAAACCAGTAGCATTTAACCTAATTAAAGCTATGTCTAGGTTTTATCAGCAATGAAATAACATGTGAACATGTGAAGCATTATTGTAGCTGACTATATTTGGCCGACATAGGTGGCAAAACTGTTTTAGCTAGCAAAAAGCAGTGGGATGGTGGAATAATCTAGCTAAAACCAATTACTTTACTGAAAACAAAGGCATAAAGAAGTACAAAAATTGGAAAACAGCTTTATTTATTACAATTAATTGGATTATTACCATATTTAAGGAGTTGGATAAAACTGGATAAAAGTTAGCTAAACTCCTGAACCACATGGCTAAAAGAACTTATAAATAGATGCAATAAGCTGAAGACATTTAAAAGGGTACCATCTTACTGATTTATTGGTTTGAAAAGATAACTCAAAGTAATAGATTAAAATATAATTGTGCAGTTTGAGGTTGGCTAAAACAATATTAGCATGGCAAGCTAGCAAATGCTACAAATTGCTAATGCAGTGTTTCTCAACCCTGGTCCTCACCGCCCCCCTGTCCTGCATGTTTTAAGTATTTTCCTTCTGCCACACCTGAACTGTACCTCTGGGTGATTAACAGGCTTCTGCAGTACTTGATGGTCATGCAATCATTTGAATCAGCTGTTCTAGAATAGAGGCACATCTAAAACATGCAGAGCAGGGGGGCAATGAGGACAAGGGTTGAAAAACACTGTGCTATCATATACCAGCAGAACTGCCAACTTTTTGGATAAAGCTAAAGTATAAATCATCAAAATAGAGTAGCAAAAATAGAAACGGAAAAACAATTCTGAAAAGTACAAAAATACATTTAAACTTGTACAAATATGCAAGTTTAAGTGTACAATGGAGTAAAAGAAAATTGAACAAAAAAAAACAGTTTGATCTAACAATTAATGACTATTAAAATCTTACAATAATAATTACAAATATGATTATTATCATTGCTAAACTGCAAGTGGTAAAAAAAATGGCATGTTAATCCAGAAACATATGATAGTGAATCTGAGAATAGCAAGATTTATTTTAATAATTCAGAAGCTTCTCAAGATTGTAATGGCATCTGGCCTGATGTCTGATAAAGACTCGTCTTTTTTATCGTTTAACCTTTTGTCACATCAAAATGAGTTTTGCTGCTACATAAATACACAAATTGGTCATACTCTTAAGATAAAGTCATAAAAACAAATTACGTCTTCTATAATTCAAGTGTGTAAATCAAACTAATGACATCCTATTAGATATAGAAATATGCAAACATATCTAATATGATCTGCTGGTTCCAGTAAGGACCGCCTGGGAGTCTGCAGTAAAACAAAACTGACCACTAAACTGTATTATTTTCAGTGTTAATTCTATATTACTCCTACACTATATTTACTGTTGCTGGTAAATAAAACAGTCTTTGCAACTAATCATCCTATTTTGTTACTGGAGAAGAAAAAACTTTATATCCCTTGCAATGGGCAGCAGTAGAGGTCACATGGCCACATTTATATCCAGTCTAAAAACATATTTTGGGATTGTGTTCCCTGAATGCTAAACAGCCTTTGGCAACATATTATTTTTGTCCAAGAAGATCAGCTCCAAATTGAGCAAACCGCTTTCATACCTTGAGGACACAAAGATATGCTTGATGAGTTTGTGCTGTGAAAGAAATACTTCCAGAGACAGATAAACTGCAGCAGAAGTCGTGATCCAGCCATACATTTTTAATCTGCTGCTATTTCTGAGCACAACTCTGAAAGCTGCAAGATGCAAAACACCAGAATTACGAAGCAAACAGAGAAGCATGCCAACGATCAGATATGACAGACGGTATTTTTAGTGAAGTCATGCTAGCAGTTTGTGAGCTGTTGGGATCAAAGCTGCTGTCTTAGCATGCAGCCACAGGATTCGTTAGGTGTGGCCAAACAGCCTGAGTTTGTGTGTAATCTGACCCAATCCATCATCCCACACTGCGGAATCACAGGTCCTGTTACACTAATGAAACTACTCCATGTACCTCTTTGACAAAAAGATGCCTTAAATTGGGACTGAAAAGAAGAGAGGAGAATTAAGAGCTAATGCCCACATATCGCTTAAACAATTACACAGTGTTCACATTACAAGCACAGATTTGAATGTGTTTTATGGATACGTGTTTTCTTTAAAAATCAAAATCTGAAAAATGTGGCATGCATTCATAATCAATCTCCAAAACTTAATGCTAAACGTTGACTGAGCCATTCTGACACATTAAAGTAGACCTAACCCCCTAACCCTAACCCCACCTGGATTTCAAGACTTTTTATCCTCTAACATGTTTTTATCCAGGATAGCCTTGTAGTTAGCTCCCTCCATCTTCCCATAAGCTCTGAACAGCTCCTCCCTCGCCGCTGAAGAAAAGCACCCCAACAAGATGCTGCTGCCACCATGTTTCACTGTGAAAATTACAAAAGTCCAGTTGTACGCCAATGTTGCGGTTTGCTGTGTTCTCATGACTTGCAGTAAGCTGCAAACAGGTCTCACAGCGTTTTACAAAATGTTTTTTTTTTTTACATAAAAAGTGAAGCTCAAAATTTTTTCTTATCCTATAATCACATTTCCTTACTGGCTGGGATCTGGCCACCCCTATAGAACATTTCTGGGGACGCCACTGGCTTTATCACACCTTGGCGTTCTATCATTTTTTATGTGTACTTTCTAAAAGAAAAACAATGTTTTTTATTCTTAAAACAAGAACATAAAATCTCCTTTTCTTCCTTTAGGTAATCAGCTGGTGTAGCTTAATGAACACAGTTCAAGGAGTATCACCGTGACATATTGCCATGGCAACGACATACCACTAGCTAATGAAGTATTTGCCCTAATATGAAGCAGCTGCACGGTTTTACAGGGCAGGAAACAGAGTGTGTGAAGGTGGCAAAGCAAAGAAAGTGCTGGATGATGATGATGATGATGATGATGATGATGATGATGATGCAAGCAGCTGGATTCCTGGGTATCAGCCTGGCTGTGATGCTCAGGCGGGGACCTGCAGGGATGCAGCTGAAAATAAGAGGCTGAATCAGGGCATGTATGGGACCAGGAGGGAACTCCGGTTTCATTCTTTAAATCCCCTTCGTGCACTAACATCTATTTATCTTTGTTTGTGAGCAGTAATAGTTCACTCTTTCCTAAAATTCAAAGGAATAAAAGCAGAAAGTCCAGATCAAAGCTCATGTCTGCTGCATGACTTCCAGTAAACATTGTGGCGGCGAAGCCTCGCCCCTCCACACCGCGCCGCGCCGCACCGCGCCGCACACCAACACTCACCACACCGTGCCGTAGGCTCCAGAACCCACCGGCGTCAGGTTCTGGTACCGCTCCGGAACCTCCCATACGGTCTTGTTCAGCTCCTGCCGGTAGAATCCCGGTCTGGCTGACATTTTTTTTTTCTCAACCGGCTTCAGAAAAGGAAGAAAGGAAAGAAAAGAGAGGTGGAGGGGGGAGAGCAGAGCCGAAAATAGGTAGATATGGACCGCCGTCTGTTGCCCGAGCCGAGCCGAACTGCTGCTGCTGCTCCCCGGCCAGTCAGTCAGTCAGTCAGCGCCTCTCTGTCTCACCCCTCCCTGACTTCCTCACTCTCCCAGACACCGCCCCCAACCCCCACCATCCACTGGAGAAACTCATTACACAACAACCAGTCATTATATTATATTATATTATATTATATTATATTATATTAAGATGTTGTAAGTCACATTTCATCCAAGTGTTTTCGGTTTCTGATTTATTCATTTTATTTAGGTCTTTTATTTAATTTTATTGCTTAGTTTACTTACCCAAATCTACCCCCTCAATTACAAAGGATTGTACGGTGATGAAAACAATATTACGCATGGTTTCAGTGTTGGGTCTATGACGAGCCGTCACAACCGGGAGAGGCCCATGGTAACTCTGGAGGAGCTGCACATATCCACCGCTCAGGGGAAGACATTTATCGACAGAACACGCTTTGGTTAGAAGAACGCTGGTCAGATGAGAACAAAGTTGACTTTCTGTTGCCTACATGAAAAAAGCTTGTGAAACATGAGGAGAAATACTGAGCATTTCTTTAGATGTTGATTAAAAACAGATTAAGCTATATTTATGTACCAGTCTATACCTAAAGATAATTCAGAATTTACTGTATGGCAAGACTTGAAAACAGACACCAGACACTCTCCTCCTAAAGAGTGACATGGGAAAAATGTCACTCTTTAGGCATGCAAGGTCAGAGACAAAAGGCTGGGAGCTGTAGTTGTTACAAGAGGCGCTTCTCCACATTTTTACTCTCCAAAAGAGAACGAGTCCTGCAGCCTGCAGTGACTTCATTGACTGGAGAGAATAATGTTAACTAAAGGAGCCATCGTCTCAAAAAGTCACTCGTATTCCTTAAGAAAAACAAAGTGGCATGATTCTCAGTCTTATGACTGAATAAGTATGTTATTAATGAAACACTATCTCTTCAACTGAGATAGGTTTACTATCTGATTTTACCAGAAGTGAACAAAATCAGCAAAATCAAGAATAGCTAATTTAGCCAAAAAAACAACTAATACATTATTACATCATTATTAATAAAAGACTACATCATTATTAATCAAAGAATAACATAGGTTATTACATTATAATATATCATATTATATTGTGTATATTGTATTGAATGAAGTTTTATTTGTGGCCAGTAGGGGGCAGTAGTAATCAACCCCACCGTTCAATCATCAAATGAGGTAAAACAAACAAAAATACAGGTTTCTAAGGTTACACATTCTACAAAATTCACATATTTGTCTATCTATATAAACTCCCAAAAATAAAAAAATAACTAGGTAAATCCTGAAGTCGGAACAAATCAGTGTGTCTTTATTTTCAGTTTTATCTCTGATAGTTGTTAGTTTTATCATTTTAAATTTCTCCGGACGTATAACATCATGTAAGATGATGTTATACATCATCTTACATGATGATGTAAGATGTAGGCTGGAAGATCTTTTGGATCTTCCAGCCTGGAAGATCTTTTGGATCTGATTTTAATGAATTGCTGTAGTACCTTATGAAAGATGTATATGGGCCAAAAGGTTATTATACCGAACCACGGCAGAATACAGTTTCTGTCCATTTCGTACAATGAAATATTTCAGAAAATTATCAGATTTCACAATACAATGACTGTTTTCTATGAGGTTAGGTATTATTTGCTTGTGTGCCACTATGTCACATTGGATATGAACCCTGTATTGCTGCTCCAGTGCAGAAAAAAACAACTCAGCATATCAGCTAAGCCCAATGTAGACAGAATGGATCGTTGGTCTCAATAACTTTGCTGGTGTTCTCCAGGAACTGCTGTAGTGCAGGTATTAATGTTTCCCTTAATTCTGCTAAGAAATACCCAGAAACAGCAAACAGAACATAATGTGTGTTCCTATTCAGGAAGGCTGAATTATCTGACCATCCAGGTCTCAGTCTCTCGCGGCGACCATCTCTGATAAGATCCCTTTCGTTGCACATTCTGGGAGAATAAATATCTTTGAAGAAAAGATAAGAAAACACCACCTCTGACTGCACCTGTTGTGCAGTCAGAGGTGGTGTTTCTGTAGCTCTGGTATAAGTCATTAAGGAAACTGAGGAGGATGCTGTTGATTGATTTCTGGTATTTTGACGTAGCGTAGCTAAAATATCGCATCTTCCAGGGGTTGATTGTAAACTAATCAGGGACAATGACCAGATGTCATATCAAACTTTCTGGTGGTCTTTGCCAGTTAGGGCAGACTGTGAGCAGAGCCACCTTGACCGGTTGCCTGTCTGAGGAACACCTTCAGCTCTTCACTGGAGAGGTTCCAACCTCCCTTCCACGCCTTTGTTTGCATTTGGAAGAACATTGTGATGCACAAAAGATCCCATTTCAAACGCAGTGTGAATGGATCTGGTTCAGGAAACAAGACAACACAGATTCTTGTCAAGTCTTCCAATTAAGTCATTCACAGACATCCCGAAGACCTTGGTATTGGTCTCAGTCACTTGAACTTCAGATTTTTCTTCAACAAAGACCCTGGCATTTGGTAAACCCACCCAGCTGGGGAAGCTTTGGTCTGTATCCTGTGTAAGTCTGGAAATGTTGGATATTCAGTTTCAGAGACATGTGATGGCATGCCATGTTGCCTGTATCAACAGTCTAGGTAAGTAGGACACCTCAGGATGCTGGTAACTTTCTGGGTCACATACAGCTGGATGTCAATATCCACACTGTATCATTGGTGGAGCAGTGGGTGGAGAGACAAGCTGAGTAATCCATCATAACAGTGTTAATGCTCTCAGTACATCAGAGAGAGTGGTGTAGTTCACCTGGCTGCTAATCTGGTCTATTTAGCCCAGAAGCAGGCACGGAGCTATAGGGGGGCCCGGGCCTGGAGGTGCCAGAGAGGGAGGAATGGTTTCAAGTCATTGAAATATGTGATTATAGATAGAGAAAGTGCGCCCTCGCCTGTTGAGAAGGGTGTATTTAATGTTAAATACACCCGCCTCCCCAATCCGCTCAACAGTTTCAGTTTCACTCCACGTAAGGGGCCCGGTGATTCCTTAGGGGCCCGATGATTGGTTAGGGGCCCGGTAATTGGCCCCGCCCCCCGGCCCGACGCTGACTTGTTCCGCTAGTGCCCAGAAGTAAAGGAAATACAGCTGGATCGTCGTCACATGTAGAACAGAACCAGTGCTTGTTGGTTCTGACCCGTTTCCACTGTGAGAACAGCTGAACTGAGTTTCTGGTTTATCAGATTCACTACTACAGAAAAAGTCTGAATGCCGCTGGTTTAAGGGTTTAACTAGATGCAGCCAGATTATTGGAGTGTGTTAAAAATATTTCTTCCTCTAATACATTTTGTTTCTGATTTATTAAAGTATATCTGTCATTTTAAATGTGAAAATTTGTTTTAAAGGTTTTCTTTGTTGCCATATGTGCCCAATACACTTTCATATTTTTTCCAGGGCAGGTGGTTGTCTAATAATTAATCAAATCAAGAATTTAAACTGGAATCATTTTCTTTCATTTCTGGCCTTATAAACATTTTATAGTTACTCCTGGAGTCTACGTTTCATTTTTCAGCTTTCTTGGCCTCTAAAATGATGGAAATCTAACAGTAGGGGGCGTACTGTTCCCATGTTTTGGATTTGACTCTTATCTTTCTTTAGAAATATCAGGATGAGTCTTAAGTGTGAAAGTAACTTACAGTCCACATTAGAACCAGGAAGGACGTTTTCTTAGTGGAACACTGAGAGGTAATAAACTGATTTCACCTGCCGATGGTCATAATGTTATGGGAGATAAGTGAATATGATAAACATTTATTTTTTTCTTTTCCTTCAGTGAGTCAGATTCAAGGGAAGTTTCTGCGATGTGTTCGAGGACACCAGATGCCGTCAGAGTCACAGAAAGGCCCGCATGTTTATCACTCACCACAGACAGAGTTTATTAACTGAAAACATTTCCATTCACCTTGGATCTTTGTCACGTTTGAGCAATCCAATAGACACACCTTTTATTGTTTTATCCCACTTGGCAATGTGGAAATGATTGTTTATCATTGATAAACAAAGGTACTGGGACTCACTGCAAATGAATTCAGTACAACCAGTAATCATCTTAGCATGTTCATGTTGACCTAAAGAATATTTCCCTGAAGTGTAATATTTTTTAAAATAAATGCATAATAGTAATGATTGCATTTTATAGATGTAAAACTTTTTTGGCTCCGAACGTCACACCATCTCTCCTTTGTCACTTTGTTTCATTATAGCTACACATTCTAATGTATTTAATTGGGAAACAGAAAGAAAATAACAGTTTTTGAAATATTTTACTCATCAAAATCTGAAAAGTCTGGCATGCAACTGAATTCAGATCACAACGAACGAGGTGCTGTTTGAAATTAACAGCAATAATTTGGATTCTCATAGTCTGCCATAAGAGAAGAAACATATTTTTGCTGTTATTCATTCATTTATAAATGTCAGTTTCAAACTAAATATTTTATTAGCAAGCTTAATAATTAGTATGTCACCTAAATATTTGGCTTCAAATTAAATGCTTAGATCTCAGCTCAACAGCTCACAGGTGAATATCTAGTTTGAAGCTAAATATTTAGCTTTCTGACTAAATATTTAGCTTCAAACAATAATAATAAGGTCAGAGCTAAATATTTAGCAAAATATCTTTTTAGCTAAACTAAATATCTAATTTGGAGCTAAATATTTAGTTTATAAACTAAATACTTAGTTGCACAGTACATATTACTTTACAAACAAAATATTTAGATCCAAACTAAATATTCAATTAGCTGGCTAAACATTTAGCTTCAAACTAAAAATGTAAATTTAAATTGAAAGTAAATACTTAGCTTACTAACGGTTTTGCTTCATACTAAACATTTAGATCAGAGCAAAAATGTTAATTTAAAGCTAAATATTTAGCTAGATGTTTATTAAGCTAACCTAAATATCTACTTTGGAGCTCAATATTTAGTTTGTAAATGAAATATTTAGCTTTCTACATATGTAGCTTGAAACTGTGACGTTTATAAATTAAT